GGTTGTGTAAAAAGGCAACACCTCCTGCTCTAGCCATGTTCCATGTTAGGCTAATATAAAGAAAAATTAGAAATTGGAAATCAGTTGCTGCTAGTAGGCATGGATTTTGTTAGTGTACAATAAAATTGGCATTCTGAAGTTTGCTTTTAAAGAGGAGGCTTTGTGACCTTTAAGATGTTTTTCTTAACTCTCTCATCTCGAATAGGGATTTGAAACTTCTTTTACAATTCTTGCTGGTTCTAGGAACTACCCTAGGTCTGAGAAAAGAGATTGGGGTTGGGGCGGGGGGCAGAAACCAAGTACTGTTCCTGGAATTATGGGCTTTCCCCCCCTTCACTGTTTATCTATTCTGCACCACTCAGCTGTTCTCTCTTGCACAGAAATAAAAGTTTAGTTTAAAAAGTATGTTAGAACAAAGCTGCAGAAATTGCCTGGAATTTCCTTCATTTTCAGCCATCTGGCTTTCATTGCTGACTTCTTTCCCCTCCTCCACGTACGTTTACCAAATCTTTTCAACACACACTGGCCAAGCTATCAAATGCTTATAATTAATAACAGTCATACTCCTTTTTTTTTCTTTTAAGGTAGTGCTTTCTGGCTTTCTTTGGGCTGCTCGTGTCATTGTATAAACCAACGAGACGGTTGGTAAAGCTTAATTATTAAGACTTAGTTGAATAGGAGAGAAAAATCTAACCAAATTTGAATTAAGTCCTGAATACAAAAATTATGTTTTATTTCAAAATAAAGTATTTCTCACCAAATGAAAGGGAAGGAGAAGAAAATTAAATTTTCTTAGTGTCTACTCTGATCCTAGTTTAGAGATGAAGAATCTGAGGATCTGAAAAGGTGTATGACCTCTTGAAGGTTACACATAGCTAACTGTGACAGAGCAGAATTTGAATATAGGTGTAAATCTATCTACTGGTTTTTATTTTGGTGGCCTCAGGGATGAGAAAGATCTTTAGTGCATACTATTAAGTAAAAAATTAAGTTGCCAAACAATATGTAAATATGATCCCACTTACAAAGAAAATAAAACTTACATATTTGTATATGTTCATGTATGTATTTAAATTCATAGAAAAAGATCTGTAAAGGTACGTACCAAACCATGAATGGTGGTTACCTCTGGGGAGAAAAAGGGAGTGAAACTATAGAGCCCGATCCGTGGTGAAAGGGGAGCATACGCCTTTCTCTTGATTAACTTCTGCCATGCGTGACTTTTAAAGAATGTATTCATGTATTACTTATATAATTACCATAATACTCAGAAAGCTGACCTCTTTCTTCATGACCGATATTAGCTCCTTCTTGGGGATATTTCTTCCATAAGCTGGTCTAACCCACCAGAGAAAGTGAGCAGGGTGGTGAGACTTCCAGACACAAATTACTTAGATGGTGGTAAAAGTGCCTCCAACGATTTTTTCTTCCTTGCAATGATAACTTCTTTGCCATCAACTCTGATGCAAAATTCTGTCAGCTCACAAGCAAAAATAATCCTAATTTCTTCTGGCCAATTTTAGGCAAGGTTGTTAAGGGATTAACAACTGTCCTCGAGATTACTGTCTTCCATCTCTTGTGACAAGCAAACTTCTTCCTGGATAATGCTAACACTTCATTCAACAATTGTGTCCACTCTCCTCTCTATCAAAGCTTGCCCTCTTATTCTTATTTTGAGGATATGTTGCCATATGTGCCTGCTAACATAAAGGGTTACTTATCCTAAGGCTATTCATATTTTAGTTGGTATTTAAAGCCTTAAATTTAAGGAAGGGATTCTAATAAGTATTTTCAGAACCATTGGGTAGGTAGGACAGAGGAATAAGGGGGACTGAGAGCAGACACAGCACTGGAATCTTCCCAGCTACCAGTAATAATAGGTTCTAAGCATTACTACTTATAAATTTGGCCCTAGTCCTTTATACCCATTCAATACACACTTAATACATTCCTGGTATGTGTCAGACATTATGCTAAGCATTCATTGCATAGAGAGGAGGACTGAGACATAAAGCTGAGAGCAAGGATTTTTAAGTAGAGTTCTCTTCAATAGATAACTAACTACTATTTTTTAAAGCACGCTAAGAAAATGCAGGCAGTTTGTGCTCACGCGCACACACACACACACACACACACACACACACACAAATTGGAACAATCAGAGAATACCTCTAGCTTGCGAATACACCCTTGCTGCTGTGAACAGGTAGGTGTGAGGGTGTATCTGCCTAGACCTGGTGAAAGTTGGATGTGTGCTTCTTATACCAGCCTTGCCATCCACACAGTAGAAGTCAGAAGAAGCTAAGTGTAATCCTAGAAAAACTGCCCAGATAGGACATGCCCTCTAGGGCCTTTGGTATTCTTCATGTGTTCTGATAACTGACCACACACAGGCAGAAAAGTGACTTCTAGCTGGCATTCAGTAGGACTAAAAACTGCCTGAGAATGCCACGTAACCAACGGCCTCCTTTCTGAGCCAGAGCCCAGTGACCAAGACTTGAAACATCACTTCTGTATGTTCCCACAGAAAATGTCATGGTTTGTTTGAACTCATGGACATCAGCACAGATCAAGAACCCAAAAGGCAGTGTATGGAAACTTGGAGCCCAGCAGAGGACACTCTAAAATGTGCAGGGAACACTGACCCAGGCACAATAAGAATTTCTGTGAATTAAAGATATAAATTGCTCTCAAATGAACAGATGGTGCTTAGGAAAACAGCGCCATACTATTATGCCCCTACCAAACACATTTTCTCTTCCATATACATTTTACATCAATCTTCAGGAAGAGAGATGATTTTTTTCCCATTTGATGTTATAGTGAAATATTCAACAGGCGTTCACCTCCATACATTTCTCCCTTTTAAGATGAAAATCTGCTTTGGCTCTTTGATGAGATGAAGAGAGCAAATCCTACCAGACCAGTGAACTTGGCCTGATGTATGAATTAGCATCAATCTACAAATGCTCAGCTGTGTATGACTGGATCGAGATATCCCTGGCTGTGCCCAGTCACTGAGGTCTTGCCTGCCAGTCTGACAACTGTCTGGTGGAAAATCAAAGCACTCAGTTTATCTGGAGCAAATGCAATAAAGTTAAGTGTAATAAGAACCCTTGTCCGGAGTCAATAAAAAAGGTTGCAGAGTAAATGAAGATCACCTAATTGAACCTGTCAGTACACTGAGGATGGGAAGTAACACTTTGTGTCCCATTCCTTCTGCTGCCCCAGGAAAGGGTAGGTGTAGTGGCCACAAATTCCGGAAGATGTTCCACTAGTCCCAGGTACTGACTCCTCAGCATTTTCTCAGTTTGTCACAGTATTTGGATGTCATTAGAACACTGGAATGTGGTTAGAAAGACACTTATGCTTGTTTTTAAAGTGGTGGTAAATAAGCAGAAAGAAATTATGTCAATTATCAGCACCAAGAAGCAGCGCAGCAGCAGTCTAATGCTTCTATCTACAAAATAATGAAGAGTCAGAGGATATGTGAGCAGGATGTGGTAAGCTCAGACCATCTCATACTGCCAGTTCATTTTGCAGATACAGAAACAGAAAGCACACCTTGCCCAATGCCACACAGCTGGTGGGTGACAGAGCAAGTGCACTGTCACTTAGTCAAAATCTTTGTGGACCGTCAATGCCAAAACCACCCTGCTTCTTCCTATATGGGAACAACACAGTCCAATAGAAGGTGTTTGTACCCCTTGCCCATCCATTTAGGTCTTAGGTTCACCACACTGGAGAACAGTGAGGTTAGGACAGAGATGTGGGATCAGGTCAGACAGAAACAGCAAAGAGGTATCTCAGGGTTCCATGCACTGGATTTAGCTTTTTTGGGTCCAGCCCTTGGCTGCTGTTCTCATGGGTGGGGTGCTGCTCCAGGGAGTGGCTGACTGATTTTCTGGTTCCTTTGGAGAATATGGCACTAGTGTCCCTCCTCACTTCTGCATTTGAAAGGAGAAGCCAGGCGCATCACTCAGATCAATATATGGAACCACTCTGGTGATCAGCACAAGTGTCACTGTGACATTGTGCCCTGATCTGATCTGAGGAGGCCAGGTCATCTGTACCCTCTAAGTCTCAAAGAAACGCATCTAGTTGACTGAGAAATAAGACAAGCAGTCTCAGCTTGACCAGCAAATTATTGTTAATTCCTGACAGCAGCACATTGCTTCTTACGGGATACTTTGCAGACACAGAAGCGATATCATTCAAAACAGTATGGCCCTTTATATCTAGGATATGATCTTATCTGGTAACATTCTTCATTCCATCCGCAGACTTGACAGTCTGGCTTTGGTTCTTTAAACATCTCCCTTTGAAACCAGAATCCTAGACAGGATGGGTTAGCTTCTACAGAGATTTGCTCCAGAGAGGTATCTGAAGGCAAGTCTCTCAAGACACCATAAAATTATGTGGACTGAAGCAGTGATTGGATTGATTAACTAAGTCTCAAGGTTGGGTAATAATAAGACCCAGGCAGGGCTGGACAATAAAATGCTCTAATTGATTTTATGCATATGGAATGACACACATATACCCCAGAGCATGCTATAATGAATCTGCAGGCTGTGTGCATACAGATTTCACAGTGGAACAATTATACCACCCAGATACTCCACGAGCCAATCCATTACTCGAGGGTGGGAGCTTGGGACACAGTCTTGAAGGTGGCAGTGACCACGAAGTCTGCGGTCAGTTCATGTTCCCTCCAGGGGAAAGCAGCAGTGTGGCCCGTGCACATACCGGCCATTCCATGGGGCTCGCCTCAGTGCACGGAGCCTTCTGGACCCTGAGCATGACCATTGGGCTGGAATTCCAAAGCCCTGGTTTCAATTAAATTTAAGTGGATTTGACTCAAAGTTTGAAGTGATGCTAATTGGTTTTCAAAACACTGGGTAACAATAAGCGTTCTAGTCTTGCCCATGGACAGACGCGCCCAGCTCTGAGCACGCTTCTGGGTAACAGGGCAGGCAACACGCCCCTGGTGCCTTTACCTTGCTGGGCACGGATCCAAACTGCAGGCTTTCAGGAGCTTTGGGGGCCGGCGGCTGGTCACGCACAGGTTCTCATCAGCAGGCTCCCGCGTCTGTTTGTTCAGGCAGCTCACCACAGCCTCCTGGACACCTGTGTACAAATCACACTGTCAGGCCAGAGTGGGCGTGTGTGGGGTGATGAAGTGTAGACAAGGCAGCTGGTGGGAGGTCTCTGTGATGGGTGGGACTCTTGTTGCAGGTCAGAGACAGTAATTTAAAGCCCAGGACTGCCCATCTTGTCAAAGCATCGCTCGATCTGGGAGAACGTACATGAGCTGGTGCCTCTGTAAGTGTGCCCCTTGAAGAGCACAACTCCCCCGAGAGGGGAGGCTGCTACCAATACTGTTGAAATGCTTTAGAAAATGCCACCAAGCTATATAGCTGCTGGTTCTAAAATGCGAGAAGTTAATGCAAATTTAATGCAGAAGGAGAGCAGAGTGACCAAAAAAAGAAAGCCCCAAGATCTTCACACATTACATTTTAATCAAAAGGAGACTGTTGTATTTGGAAGGGAGGCCAAGAGCCATGTTTTAATATCCAACAATCTGTAAACTGTTGTTCTTCTGGAGCCTAGCATCCAGGACTGCAGTCTTTGTTGGTTTCCTTTTGATTCTGGTTCATTTCTTTAGTGACCTAGGGCAGCTTTGGGAGTTGGAACAGAGAAAGAGAACAAGATGTATAATCACTACGTCCATGGAAGGCAATCTTCTTACATCCATGGTAAACAATGTCCCCACTGACACCTGCATTCCCCTGACTCAGAGATTATAAAACGGGAGTTTGAGCAGTGACAGGCACAAGGTTCCTTGGAAGGTCTTCCAAGGTGGTAGGCGGGATCTCTCATGGAGACTTCTACAGAGCATGGAAATATTTAACTGGGTAAGGTAATGACGCGTCTTTTCATTCTGGTGTCCACAGTCATAAAAAGAGTCAAAATCCACAGGTTGCACAGGTATCAAGGCTAAGAACTTGAAATGTTTTATTGAATCCTCTCAACAATTCCATGAGGTAAGCACTATTTTTATCCCCAATTTACAGGTAAGGAAACTGAGGCTTACAAGGGTGAAAAGACTTGCTGAGGTCATACAGTTGATAAATGGTGAAGCTGTGCCTCAGCACTGGAGCTTTAAAGACTGAAAGCGTTAACATTTAAAAATACGAAGAGATTGCTATATCTGCTGGAGATCTTCAGGAATAACCTAGATCTTTGTCTGGAATCATTTCAGCAGGCGAGACAGGACATTCTTGATAATTTGCTTTCAGTCATACATAGCTATGTAAATAAAGATCCATACCTCTAAAGCTATCTATCTGTAGTTAAATATTTGTATATAGTTACTGCAGAGTATGTGACAATACATATTAGTTTTATATATAAATACACATACATCTTCTTGTTTTTGTTTTCTGCATTGCTTTGTTCATCAGTACCTAATATAGTACAGCTGATCCACCACGTCTTAGCTCCGCTGTCTCCCTCCTCTAGCTACCCTGTATTTCTCTAAGAAGCTATCACCCCAATCAAGAGGGTAATGCTTCCTAAGGTGATGTTACACTGGCTTAAATCATTCAGCAAGACCATCACTTAAAAAGTGACATTTTAAAGCCAGAATCTGAATCACCTTTCTTTCTTCCTAGTAAGTCTGATAAATCAAACACACACACACACACACACACACACACACACACACACACAAAATCAGTCACAATATTTACACCCTGTGGCCATGAATATACGTTTTCTTTTTTTCTAAGTTTTTTTTTTTATGAGCCTCAGAATTTAATTTAAATATATCATGGCCAGTTCAGAATAGAGCATTGAGATCTATACAAGACATTCTAGCTACTCTCTCATATTCTGTAATGCTGACTACAGGGTGTTTCTCTTGGTTGCAGCTGGGATGAGCCATTTGAAATTCATGGTATGATGATACAGCAAAACACTTCCCGGGAAATAGCTGACATCATCACTGATCCTCCCCACGGGAACAGTGCGGTATTATTAAGGTAATGACCAGGCGCTGGATGATGCTAACTATTCCATAGCGAATCTAGAGCTGTGGTTATATTAAGAAATTAGGTTTTCAATTAGTTTTCCTCCCTGGCAATATTCAGGAGATACTAAATGTTTCCCTGAAATAAAATATATTTTGGCTTTGTTCAGCCGCGAACACCTTATCACTTGCCTTATGTGAAAGTGCTTCAGGTGAGTGAGGGGCTGTATGAGTGATGTGAGCTGTTTCCACTCTGTGAACTCCTTGTTGATGGAGCTTAGGTCCTTCGAAGATGGCAAGTTGTGGGTGTAACAAGGGCTAAGGTTTCTACAAGGACATCAGTCATCTCCTCTTTTGGATATGTGCAACACAAATTTAAAGTAAACCAATAATCACAGATCAAGATAAAAATCACCATGGAGTAGTTAAGTGCTGAGATTAAGTAGCATTCTAGAGTTAGTCAATGCTAATCTAGCGTATTATAAAACAACGTACTAGGCCTCCGCAACACTGCATTCAATGTCTATTGCCATAGGAGCAGATTGCCTCACAATTCTTAGGTGGCGCCTGGCATGGTGGGGTAACAAAGGACAGAGAGGGCTCTGTCATGATTAAGGAGTATCCGGGACCAGCCCTGTGGTCCACATACAATAAATTTTTGTGACCTGACGAATGAAATGCTTCAAGGACAAGGCATCCTAAGCAAAGTGTGCGGTTTAGGCTAAGGGGAGGTGGGGATGGAATGTCTGCAGAAAGGAACAGGGAGTGAAGGAGCTACCCTGCAGTGGGGAGTGTGGGAAGGTGGCGGAGGGAGGAAACAGGAGGACTTTACCTACAAGTTCACAGTATACTGGGCCCAGGGGAGTCAGTCCAGGATGCGAGAAGTTAGCTCATCCAGTTTGTGCTCTTTCCAAACAGGCTAATATTGCACTTTGAAGGACGTTTTAAACCAACACAGAACATATGTTTAAGTACAGCACTTTTATGATTTTGAGTTTTCCTTTCCTGACAGAAGCTAAAGGGGAGAGGACTCGTAAGGAAAAGGGAGCAATAGGTGCAAGACTTCACTTTTCATTCTCGCTGAAGTAAATTTCAGGTTTTCCCTCAGCTAGAGTTTAACGTTTAAGTTTTACCACCTAAGAGTTGAATATAATAAAGCTGGTCAGGTTCAAATCTGCTCTCCTTGACCACACCTATTAGTGCTTAGTGCACATATGGGAAATTAAACTGTAACAAAGAGGTGATAGTGGGACACAGGTCACAGATATGAACAGGTTAGGCTCACTTTTAATCTTCCAGAAAATGGGATTTTCACTGTTTCTATCGCCCAGAATAGCATAATTGTTATATGATATGGACGACAGCTTGGGAACACGTAGCCACCAACTACAGTCTAAATTACTAACTAGTTCCTTCTGGTTGCTACCTCTGCTAGGTGAAAGGTTACTTTTGTGTCTATCCAATTTCATCTCTTGAGATTGCAAAAACAATAAAATTAGCTGACTGGCCTTACAACCCAAAATTGATTTAAAGTCTATCTGTTAATCTTGCAGGTTTTTGGTTGGCTTCAGCAAAAATGATAAAAAATATACATATAACCTCATGGGTTATATTTTGGTGAAAGATCAAAGTTGATAATACAATGAAATGTTACTGCCAAACACTGTCTTCAAAATATACATGTCCTATATAACAAAATAATTTTTTAGTGCATATGGGCATCATATGGACCATATAACCGAAGCATATTTTCACCACTTTGGAATTTTCAACTCTAGCATTTTAGGTGTAAATATATTACCTTGGAACAGTGACGTAACTGCAGGTAAGTAAGTGTGCATGGCTGTTGACAGTTAAGACCTCAGACATTTCAGTAACTTAACCCTGCCTTGGATACACAATTTATGTTACACAAAGATACTCAGTTCCTGCAGGCAGAGATCAACTGTGTATCAAACATCCAAATCTTATTTCCAAATCAATGTCTTCTGAAAACATTTTAAATGAAAAACACTCCATCTACTCTCTACACTTTGAGTTTTATGCCCCGGTTGATCAGCAGAATGGTTGGACTCTTAAATATAAAGGTATCTGCTTATGTCTATATTCCATTACTGCATCTATTTTTCCAATCTGTTCATAAAGCTCCAGGCTTGACTTGTAACTGAGAACCATAACTGAGAGATCATAAATAATTTTTTTCAAAGCACATTCATTTTAGACTAGAGATAATGCTCATTCACTTCATGTGATCACGGAAATTGGGGGTAAACCCACACCATCTGAACCTTGGAGTCATTCGTTACATTGGAGAGAAGCAACTCTAGCCACAGGCTGTGTCTTTTCCACTTGACCTTACAGCTCCTACCCAGGCTCAGAGATCACCAACGCTTTTTTTCTTAACACTTCTCCCTTGTTAAGCATGGAAGAAAAGATGTCCTCAGTGTGAGTAAGAACACTATAAGAACATAGATTAGCTGAGTTCCAGGAAATGCTTCCAGAATCAGACGGAAAAATTTAGGTTTTAAAATAACAGGGCTCTCCATTAAAACACTTAAGAATTCCATGGTTTGAAACTGGAAGACTTAGAAACAAACAAGAACTTCAAGGTCAAAACTATTAAACACTTACTAAAAGACTTGATGGAGAAAATTGATTCTTTGCTAGTACATGTTCCACTATTCATTCCTTTTCAACTCCATGGAACAATTTGGGCACATTTACTCTTACATTCTCAATAATAACAAAAGGTGCCTTTTAAAAAGAGTTTTCAAAATGTTGTGGTTTAGAAAACAGTTTTGAGAAATTATGTGTGTGCCAAAAAATGTATACACTTTTTAAGAAAGAAAAGCTGTATTAAAATTGTAATAGTCCATATATACGGATAACAAAAGATGAATACACTCATGTTAGAACTCTGCAATTACAAGAGGTGCTCAAAATGGTTATCATCAGCGTCCAGACACTTCTGATTATGGCAAACTACTGCCTGAGGAACGTTGACCGAAGTGTCCACTTGTATACATTTTTTGACAACCTTGGTGTACACACACACACACACACACACACACACACACACACACACACACACCTGACAATTAAGTTTGCAAACTTGTTGCAACAATGTTGCTAACCTTTTTTGATATCAGCGAGATTATTCTTTATGAATTTGTACCAAATGGACAGTTAACCAAGTTTACTATTTGGAAGTGCTGAAATGGCTGCATGAAAAAGTTAGATGAAAACAAACTGAACTTTTGGTCAACAATTCATGGCTCTTGACAATGCAGCAGCTCACACAGCACTGTCTGTGAGAAAGTTTTTAGCCAGTAAACAAATAACTGTATTGAACACCCTCCTTACTGACCTGATCTGGCCCCCAATGATTTCTTTCTTTACCCGAAGGTAAAGAAAATATTGAAAGGAAGACATTTTGATGACATTCAGGACATCAAGGATAATATGACCACAGCTTTGATGGCCATTTCAGAAAATTGCTTTGAAGGGTGGACTAGGTGCTGGCATCAGTGCATAGCTTCCCAAGGGGAGTACTTCGAAGGTGACCATACTGATATTCAGCAATGAAGTATGTAGCACTTTTTCTAGGATGAATCCAAGACTGAATTGTCAGACCGAGAGAGAGAGAGAGAGAGAGAGAGAGAGAGAGAGAGAGAGAGAGGATGTATGTATGTATGTGTGTATATTTATACCAGTAAGTAAGAAACTTTGCTGGGAATATGGAACCTTAGGTGTCAAAGGGGTTACTGATAGCCAATGAGAGGGATTTGGCAGGAAATCAGCCATTGTTTCCTCACCTATCAAAATCTCTCTTGGGAAATCATCAACAAAACAAAAAGACATCCTTCTGAATGGGAAAAGATATTTGCCAATGATACATCTGATAAGGTGTTAATAGCCAACCTTTATAAAAAACTCATACACCTCACCACTAAAAATAAAACACCCAAACAATCCAATTAAAAAATGGGCAGTGGACCCAAATCAACATTTCTCCAAAGAGGACATACAGATGGAAAATGGACATATGAAAAGAACTCAATGTCACTAATCATCAGAAAAATTCAAATAAAAATCACAATGAGATATCACCTCGCTCCTGTCAGAATGACTGTCATCAATCAATCAACAATCAAGTGCTGGTGAGGCTGTGGGGAAAAGGGAACCCTTGTGCACTTCTGGTGGGATTGCAATTTGGTACAGCCACTATGGAAAACAATATGGAGGTTCCTAAAAAAATTAAAAACAGATCTACCTATGACCCAGCAGTTCCACTTCGGGGTATTTATCCAAAGAAATCCAAAACACTAACTTGAAAAAATATATGCACCCCTATGTTTACTGCAGCACTAGCCAAGTAAACTTTACTGTTCACAATAGCCAAGATATGAAAACAACTGAAACGCCCATCAACAGAGGATTGGATAAAGAAGCTGTGGTACATTTATACAATGAAGTATTACTCTGCCATAAAAAAGAATGAAAACTTACTGTTTGCAACATGTTGGACCTAGATGATATTATATTAAGTGAAAAGTCAGACTGAGAAAGAGAAATACCATATGATCTCAGTTATATGTGGAATCTAAAGAACAAATAAATGAACAAACAAAACAGAAACAGACTCATAGATGCAGAGAACAAACTGATGGTTACTAGATGGACAGGAGTTTGGGGATGGGTGAGAAAGGTGAAGGGATTAGGAAGTACGAATTGGTAGTCACAAAATAGTCACGAGATGTGAACTACAGTATGGGGAATATAGTCAATAATGTTGTGAAAAGTATGTATGGTGTCAGATGGGTACTAGATTTATTGGGGGGATCACTTCATAAATTACATAAATGCCTAACCACTGAGCAATATACCTGAAGCTAATATAAAATAATATTTAATGTCAACTATAATTAAAAAAATATATAGTGACAGGATGTAAAGTACAGCATAGGGAATATAGTCAATGGTACTGTAATACAACAGCTATGTACGGTGTCAGATAGGCAGGAGACCTGTTGGGGTTGTCACCTCGTGAGGTGTGTAAATGTCTAATCATTATGTTGTTTTTGTACACCTGAAACTAATAAAAAAATCTCTCTTGGGAGCAGACATGGGAGACAATGGCAACATGAATCTAAAGTAGTTCCTTAAACAGTAAGAGAGATTGTAATCTTGAATTATTTGTTGATTTAAATGCCTTCCTCTTCCACAACACTCCCATTCATATATCACCTGAAGTAAAGAATCACTGAATCTGTTGTTATCACCATGGAATATACTTAAGAGAACCAGGTCAACATTCATGGAAACATTTAACATTAGTTAAGTAATATTCATAATGAGAAAGCTTCAGGAATTCTCTAAGTGCTTAAAAAAGTGTGGTGTGATGGAAAGATGCTAGACAGAAATAAATAAATGACAGGCCTAGTCCCAGCTGTTACTCACTAGCTGTGTGATCTTGAACAAGTCACTCAGCTCCTTTGTACCTTAGTTTCCTCTTCTCTAAAATGGTGGCGGGGTAAGACTTTTAATCTTTAAACTGCTTTCCAGTTCCAGGTAACCATAGTGTCAATTGCCATTTATATGCCCTTTCCTCTTGTAAACAGATATTACTTTGGGAAATCAGCTGAGTAAATCAGAGGGACTAAAACCTATTCCTGGGAATAGCAGAATATTTTGTCATCTTTGGGTTTTGGTTCCTGCCACATGCACTGAGGCAAGGGTGTTACTGAGGTAAGTGAAACTGAAAGCTGAGGGCATTGCCAGGTCAGTGTCAACTGTGTTTCTCAGTCAGATATACTAGGATAGATTGCAAAACATCGGAATGACAACAGAAAGTAAAAGCATTAGTTGTGTTGGTCACTCACAGCTGACAGCCTGAGAGCCACTCAAGCCCAAAGAGAAACACATCTGTGTTTCATTCAGTGTGCTTTACATTTAGAAAGGCTTCCTCCCCTCCTCCCTCGACTTATCATTCTTGGACTAGAGGCAGTCACAGGATACAGTTGCATGCAAGGAGAGAGGATACAGAAAAAGGGGGAAAAGATGGCGGGGATCTGAGCCAGAACCCCCTTTCTTACCTCCTCCGCATGACTCGGAGCACTTGGTGAAGCCCTCATACTCCCAGTCATATAGCTCGTCAAAATCCTGCAGGTCATCTGTCTCTTCTGGGTTAAACTCAGGAACTTCGCCGTTGCATGGTCCCGCATAACAGGCACGCTGGGAGGCTGGCTTGGGCCCTTCACATTCGTCAACAGGCAGGTCAGCCACGGACTGAGAGAAAGACAGGAGCACCTGGCACTTGACTCTTCGCACTTGGGTCCCCACACCACAGGTAACCGTGCAGGCCGACCAGGCCTCTGGGATGAACCTGCAGTCGGCAAGCAAATAAGAAGACAGAATGAGAAGGCCCAGGCAGGGGGCCCTGGGCATCATGAGGGGCCGCATCCCATCGGCCACGAAGGCCCAGCCAGTGCCGTCCCAGGATGTGCTCAGGGCTCCTCCACCCTGTCCTGGGACGGGCGCTTCAGTTTAGTTCATGAGCTCATTTGCCACTGTTTCTGGATTGGTTTTTCGAGAGTGTCATCTGAACTCCCAGCTGTAAGACATTCCAGCCACAGACCACCTGCTTTCTTGCTGCCTTATACCCACAGTGGCAGCTCTTCAGAGCAGGGAATTGGTGGTTTCTTCTCTCTCTCTCTAAATCCTAGCACTTGTGTCTGCTGCAAGATGCTGGCTATTCTTATAGCAGACTAATACTGATACTAAAAACTATAACAAAATAAGCCCTTAGAGATATTTAAGGAAGTATTTTTCTTAGTCTGGATCATATTCCGTAACTTTCTTTGCTTTTCTGCACAATGTGCTTCCCAAGATTTATTTATATGTAGAGTTTTTTTTTTTTCTTTCTTTTTTGTAAGTTTCCAAGAATGGAGCAAAGTCTTGTTCCTCACACATTCTTTGAATTAGTCTGGACTACAATTCTTTTTATATCATAGAGAAAAGCTGTGCTACAAATTTAAGTCCACAGGCATGTCCCAGTAAAGAAGAGGTTATGCATTCATACAGGTTTGTTCAACAGCTTTCACCCCACCTCCCCCCAGAGAAGCAGCCCTAGTGAGAACCTGGTTTTTCTCTGAGTTTCTCTAGAATGTAGGACAATATCCAAATTCAAAAAAAAAGAAGGTTTTTTTTTTTCCTCCCACTAATTAACCATGGCCATAACTACAATGACCTTGAGAGGGGCCTAGGGGAAAAAGCCCAGAGGGAACCACTAACATTTTCAAAAAGTTATTATAATAATCTGGAGAGAGAACTTTAGAATAAAATATTTTTATTTTTCCATGATCCTACAGCTTTCTCACAGAGAGTCGTGCTGAGGAGGCATGCAAACCTGGCTCCTCAACCTTGACTTTGGCAGAAAGGGAAAGAACTGATAAGAAGGTTATAGCATTCAATCCTAGCAAGTGCAAACGGTTCATATCTAGTTTAGGGAAACTGAAATTCTAACAGGAAACCAACCCAAGGTTTCAAACTGGAAGGAACACAACAAAGATGTTTCCTGGGCCTGAACCTGAGCTGTGTGTGGAACAGCGGGGATCTGGTGGCTTCTCAGACAGTGTCTGAGGATGGCGGGAGTACCTTTAAGAAGGGTCTGACATTTGTTACCTTTGAAGAACCATCCCCTAGGAAAGAACGGAAGTCACATATAACCTTGTCAGGAAGATGGATGAGGGGGGAAGGCCACCCAGAACTACTCCCAAGAAATTCTCATCACAATGTTACCTCCCTCTGTTGTTTTTCAATTCTTGACTTCATCTTCTGGCACCTAAAGAACTTGGGGGAAAACTGTATCTTGAAAGATTAAAAAATCTCTTTCTCTTCAAATAATGCTACCTGTAGGGACTTTTTAGAACTATGAAACCAAAATCTGCAATCAAAATAATCTTAACCTTCTTTTTGCATATTCATATATAACTGCCTAGCTCCTGGAACAAGAATCATGATAAATACACAAGCCCTAAATTTTACAACCCAGGTGTAGACATAAAGGAAAATGCATACTAAACTATTTTGTACCTAAAAAAAAAAAAACCAAAACAAAAAACCCCCAAAAACAAAGCAAATGATAAGTCTGCCAACTTTGACCATAATGTGAGGAATAATGCGTCTTGAATAACGTGGTGATGAATTTTGTTTTCAAAAAGAAAAGATGACACGATCTCAAAAAGAACTGTGCCTTATTAGATTTCCCTATGCAGTAAGGATTATTGTTCGGTCACCTATCATAGTCCTCTTTAATGACCATTACAAGAGAAAAGATCAGCTAGCTTTTTCTGTTAAGGGCTAATAGAAAATATTTTAGATTTTGTGGGCTAAGTTTGTGGGTCTTTGTTGTTCCAACTACTCACTCTGCTGATGTAGTGTGAAAGCAGCCATAGATGATATGTAAACAGATGGGTTTGGCTGTGTTCCAATAAAACTTTATTTATAAAAACTGGAGGGAGGGGCAGGAAGGGTGGTAGAAGGGTCTGAATTTTGCCTGTGGGCTGTATGTTGTTTACCAGTTCCTGCTATAGAATGATTAGCGGAGAGGCTAAACACACTGAGATTTATAAATAAACCCCAAAATTATTTTAGGTCTTAATTTCCATCTTTTTCCACATATATAAGATTATAAGAATGACAAGTAGCTAAACTGATGTATGTTTTATCTTCCACAGTGAGTCCCAGATGAAATCTAGAATATGAGCAATGCAATAACTAAACCCTCAGCTCTCCTTGCCTATAATGTGAATCACTTTGCATTTGGTTTCTTTCCAGGACCAGGAAGATACATCGAAAGCCCACAAAGTAGACCATGCAATGGTTGAAACTTGTTTATTTTAAAGTAGCATTTAAATGAAAGTTGTGTGTGTGTGTGTGTGTGTGTGTGTGTGTGTGTGTGTGTGTGTGTGTGTATTTGACTATCTGAACATTTAGGATTAATAGTAAAAACAATAAACATCTACTTTATGTCTCCCAAGTGATAGTCTTATCAAATATCAAATAGCCTTACTGGCTTACCTCCCAACTGGCTATCTTCAGGTCTTCACTAAGTTCACACCAATTAAAAACAATTTAATTTTTAAGTGGTGCTGTCTTCCACCAGTCATCTTAATTTCTCTAGTGTATATACTGTATGATATGATATATTCTCTTTCACTGAAGGCAGATTATATTTCAAAAGAAAAATACATAATAGTGCAAATGGACAAATGAATAATAACTTTTTCATACGAAACATTTCCCCATATCCCTAGATCTCTGAACTCTGTATTTACTATCTTGAGCTATCTGGCCACAAGTGGGAGGAAACAAGGTCAATGAGAGGGCAAGTGAGCTAGGAGGTTTAAATGTAATGTTTAGATGACTCAAGTTGAAGAGCACTTGCTAAATTGGAACCTTTAAAGTGGGATCTTTAGAATGTAATCAATAGGTATTTTAAAAAGTCATTTTGATGTAGAAATGTACAATGAAAAAGTTTTTACTGAAGTTTAATTAGGGTAATTAAAAAATTCTGTTTTGTTAGCAGCACAATTGTGGTATGAATGAAAAATGGCTGGATAAGTGAGTTCCTCAAAAGATAGGCTTAAACTTCATAAAGAACTGATATAATTTCTGCATTTAGTCTTCCTATCTCTAGGAAATTAAAAAAAAAAAGTTAGCAAAAAAATGATACACGCTTCTGTCTATTCTTTGATTTGCAGCTTAATTGTTCATTTTATTAACAAAAGCTTATCCTTTAACTAGTTATTACCATAGTCCCTTTTAAGAAATAGAAAACAGTGATAGTCAAATTCATTTGTAAAATCCCAAAGTGGTTTCATTTATTAGTGGCTGTTAAGAATAAGAAGTATGGACTGAAATAATAAAAACAATCACTTTATTAATATAATGCCAAACAGAAACAATTCATTCTTGGTTAATCAGTCTCATGTCACTGCAAATCTTAGCCAGAGTTAGGCTCTGATTTTATGCACATATGGCCTCTAAGATGTTTAACTTTTGCTTTTCTCTTCTTACTTTCCTCTCTCCTCCTTTCTCACATACATGTTTGTTTAAAAGAATCGCTAGGGATATTCAAAATAAGAGTAGTTTTATAGGTGTGTTTTTTTGATGCTGTTACTAGCCTTGCCTCATTCTCTTTTCAAAATGCAAATCAAACTTGCAGGAAATCACATTAGAAATATTAAATTTTGGTTAAGTTTTAAATCTTATTACATTTGAGTTATAAGTGGGTAAGGGTTGTAGATTTCTTTTCCCTCTTTCTTTTGGTGTATGTTTGTGTATGAGAGAAGTGGCATGATAGTAGGGTGAGGACAGAGGACGGAATAAACTGACTAGTGTAGGAAAAATATAAAAGACTACTATTAGAAACAATACAGGAAATTTGCAGGATACAAAATCAATATACAAAAATCCATTGGCTTCCTCTGTACTGACAGTGAGATATCAGAAAGTAAAATGAAAAAAAAGAATCCCATTTATAATTGCAACAAAAAGGATAAAATACCTAGGAATAAACTTAACAAACAAAATAAAGGACATATGTACTGAAAACTACAAGACACTATTACAGGAAGTTGAATAAAACACAAGAAAATGGAAAAATATCCTGTGTTTACGTACTGGAAAACTTAACATTTGTTAAAATGTCATATTACCTAACGCAATCTACAGATTCAAAATCCCAATGGCATCTTTCATAGAAATAGAACAAAAACTCCTCAATTTGTATAGAACTACAAAAGACCCTGAACAGCCAAAACCATCCTGAGAAAAGAACATGGAGGTATCACATCACCCAACTTCAAATTATACTACAAAGCCACAATAATCAAAACAGTATGGTATTGCAGAAAAAATAGGTACACAGACCAATAGAACAGAATTGAGAGCCCAGAAGTAAACTCACACTAATTTTTGACAAAGTATCCTAAAACATACAATGGATAAAGAAAAGTCTCTTTATCCAAAGAGAAATCTGGAAAATAGTATATTGGAAAAATAAAATATTGTATAAATACTTCTTCCTCAAATTAACCAGAAAGTATTTTATATAAATATATCATTTGGGGATAAAAAAAAAATCACCATACTTTATTAGTAATGATGTTATTCCATATTGTCTCATCTTATTTTTAGCCCAATCTTCCTTTCACTATTCTTTTCCTTTAGTTTGAAAAGTTTGTTCTCCTGATTCTGAGCAATACTTGAGATATTAATGAATAAATCTTTAGGAAAAAGTGCAGTTACTTAAACCAAAGCTGGGCATTTTGGCCTCTGGACTGAAGAAACATTTGGATATATGAAAAAACAAAAACTGAT